TGGCACCTCTGTGTGTGACACAGGGTACCCCAGCACTTTGTCGGCTGTGGGTTTGTCCTCCCCACACCTGGATATCCGAGTCCATCACCTCGTCTGTGCCTGCTCTGCCCTGGGCTGGGAGCTGGGGCAGGAGCCTGCTTGCTCTGTTCTTTCCAGGTTGTACCAGTGTAGCCCTGGAGTGCCACACAGATCATCTGATGAGTTTCATATTTACCATCCTTTGCAATTTTCAGTTTTCCAAGGAAAGTGTTAAATACTCTAGACTAGAACAGTGATTTTTTAGATTTTCCTGCTGAATGTGTGATATTGAACAGGTACTCAGATTTGGAGGTCAGATGCTCAAAAGCACTTTGCTGTCCCCAGCAGAACACTCACAAGGGGCTGATCCTCCTCCTGCATCTCCTTCCTATGCAGATTTTCCTTGAGCAGCCCCAGAGGAAGGGCTGGCACTGGGGGGATCATTTCTTCCTTAGGGGCTTCAGGGAAAAATGTCTTTAAAAATACCCCTAAACAGAAGTATATCAACAAACCAAATGTTATGTAGGAACTAAGAAGTGAATCAGCTGGACATTTGAGCTCATCTGCATGGGGCTCATGGCTCTGAGGGAGCTCTACACAGAGTTTTATGTTCCTGTTTTACTCTGAATGGGATTAGTGGCTTTCCAATAGAAGAGTTATGATCTCTTTCTTCCCATCTCTTCCCATTTCAGCTACCCAGTGCCTTTGTCTCCTGCTTTTGACCTGCTTGCTGGCCCTGGCAGCATCTTTTCCTGATGTTGACATAAGAAACTTGTACCTCCTCAATGGCACGATGGATGACATTATGAATGCTCCCCCAGAGCCCTCCGAGCTCGGTAAGCATGGCCCTGCAACAGGGAGAGGCAAACAAGGTCCTGGTCAGTCAGATCCTACACAGCTGACATCCTCAGCATCCTCTGCCACGCCAAGGAAGGACTAAATACTGATCTGAGAGTGCCATAGTGCAACAAGAGTAACCTTAGGACCCCCCTCTGCTTGCTGCTTGTGGCATGAAGTTCTTCTGTCCATAAGGGACAGGAGAACAGCCCAAAGCTCAGAGCTCACAGGGTCCCAGGGGAAAGGACAATTTGGCCTCACTGGCCACACCAAGCCCAGAGTCTTTGGGCTGTGTGCTCCTCCTTGGAGAAGAAGGGTTTGAGATGCAGGCACCTGACATGTCTACTCTCCACACTCACTCCTGTCTCCTGTGTTCATTTAGGTGATGGTGATGGACATGTCCGACAGGCCAGAGACATCGCCCACCACCCGCCAGCGAGCCATGGTGAGTCCCTGCACCTGCCTGGGAGGGGTCACCATCCCTGGGCTCACCAAGAGCTCTCAACTTAGCCACTTTTACACGTGCACTGGCTCCTCCCAGGAAAATGTTGATTTTCTGATGGGCTGCAGAGGTGCCAAAGCTCATAACCTCAGGGGATTCTGCTACCAGCTGTGTCCTGGGCTCACTACTTGATGAGGTGATTTTTGTGTGGGGAATTTTCCAGATAAAGGTCCCAGCTGGAAAGTGATGCTTCATTATGGGAAGTAGTGATTAGTCGTTTTCCTATTTTCACTGCACAGTCAATGAGAAGAGTGGATCTGACAGAATTTCTGAGCTGGCTGGGCCAACATTAGCCCATAAGGCCAAAGACAGGCCCTACCTGTGTGGGGACAACCAGTGACAGAGGTACTGGGGAAGGCCATAATCAAATCCAACAAGTTAGAAAATCTCTGAAGAGCTACTTGGGTAAGGCCAGAGAACAACAGTGACTTTGCCCTGTTGACATCCCAAGGGCTGATTTAATTGTTAGATATTTGGATGTCATGATCACCCTCTCTCTGGGGCAAAGCCCCAAACCTCTGTGCAAGTGTCTTTGTCCCCCAGATTTGCATTTGTCTGTGGTGATACATCATCTGCATGACACAAGCAAATCACTGAGACTGAACCCACCCTGCTTGAGGGTCCTTGGGTGACAGCAATGCCTGGCTTGGTCTCACCAGACATTTTTGCAGCGTGTCCCCATCAGTTTGAATCCGGTCTTAGGAAGATGTGAAGCTCAACTCTCACACTGATCATGTCAGGATTTTGATTTATTCCCGTGATCCTATGGCAGGAATACTGGGAATGTGTGTGCCACAGGGTGTAGACACAAAAAAACCACCCCATTTTCAGGGGATTTAATAACCAGCTCTTGTTTCCAGCCTCAGCTTGGCCCAAGGACTGCAGTGAGCTCCCCCGTGGAAGCCACAGCGGCGTCTACATCATCCAGCCCAAAGGGCTCCATCACCTGGTGGTGTACTGCGAGATGAACGTGACCCACGGGGGCTGGACCGTCCTCCAGAGGAACCAGAGGGACACTCCTGTCACCTGGGCCGAGTCCTGGAGCACCTACAAGTTCGGCTTTGGGAACGTGCGCACCGAGTACTGGCTGGGCACGGAGTACATCCACCAGATCGCCAAGCAGAAGGTCTACCAGGTCAGGTTTGTCATCCAGGACTCCGCAGACACCTTCAGCTTCGCAGACTACAACCTGTTCAGCGTGGAAGACGAGTCCCACGGCTACAGGCTGAGGCTGGGCTCCTACAATGGGACAGCTGGGGATGCCATGACCTCAGACAATCCCAACAACATGCACGACAACATGAAATTCTCCACCAAGGATCGGGATCAGGACACTTACAGTAAGAACTGTGCCTACAGCTACGAGGGCGGGTGGTGGTACTCGTCGTGTTATTCTGTGCGGCTGAATTACAAGGGCGGCATGACATGGGGCAGCCTGTGCAAGGGGAACTGCAAATCCTCTCTTATCCTCATCAAACCAGCTTCGTATTGTTAGGGCTTCTTCTTCCTCCTCCTGTCCACAGTGGACACTCTGCAAAGGCTCTGCATGGCCAAAAAGCGTGAGCCTCTCTGGAGCAGAGCGAGGAGCACAAGGGTAGCAGGGTTTTAATGAAATGCCACTTTACAATCCCCAGATTCCTCTCTGCTCAGCTCCATTCCCTCGTGCTTGTCAATGATTCCTTGTCATTATGTTCATAATCAAGAATTTAAAACAACTTATGAAATTTGTGGATCCCACATGTACCTTCCCTGTAGGAGGAAGACACACGTGCCCTGGAGTTACATCAGTTTCCTTGCTGTCTCCAGAGCTCACAGAAAGCAAAAAAGCTGCATGCCCCAAATTTCCATATACTCTGAGCCTCTCTGCAGTGTTTGATAAGGCATCCAATAAACGTGCTTGCTTGAGCTCATTCTTCAGTAATGACATCTGTTCTGTACCTCTGATCTTCACCCCTGAGAGCCAAGAAATCCCATGGCAGGTGCCAGGACTGGAGTCTTGAGGCTTATCATAGAATCACAGCCTGGTTTGGGTTGGCGGGGACCTTAAAACCCATCTCATTCCACCCTCTGCCATGGGTAGGGACACCTTCCACTAAACTCAGCCTGGAGACAGAAAGCCTTGAGTGTCTCTCATGGGTGTAAGAAAATTAAACCAAACTCCACTGTGATAAAGGCCCTGTGATCTGCACAGGGGTGCTCAGGAGGGACCTGGAACGTGGGAGGACTGATCCTACATCATCACTTGCACTCATAGTCATGAGTGCATTGCCTCAGAAGTTGAGGCAATGTCTTGGTGCCAGGGTCCTGCTCCTGCTAGGAAGCTGAAGCTGTCAGGAGATGTTCTGTGCTGCCTGGCTGTACTGCCATGCTTTGATCCTGCAGAAGCAGGATTTCAAAGCCATCAGTAGATCTGTCTGCTGTGATCATGAAGCAACGAACTTAAATGGAAGCAAAGGAGAAGTAGGCTAGGTGTTAGAAATGAAGAATTCTCCACTTGAATTAAGAGAGACTGATGAACTAACTACAGGAATGAACCACCATATCCAAGTTTCTGATGGATTAGATTTAGATGAACTTTGGCCAGAAAAAGACCAGACAGAGCTAATGCAGTGAGGCTGCAGGACAGAGTCCCTAACAGCTCCTTTGTCCCAGGATTGTTCCAGTACTGCCAGGACAGACTGTCAGAGAAGCACTTTGGTATTCATAAACCCTGTCTGGTTTTGTCCTGCAGCAGCACAGTAACAGCCATGAGTTTCACTTCCAGGACCAATGACTCAGGGAAAACCCATCCCTGGCCCACCAGCCACAGAGTCCAGTGGGCACTGGGAGCCATCCTGAGAGGTTTGAGAAATGGTGGCAGCAGGAGGGACTCGCACAGGGGTGTGCAGGATGGGCACAGAGGGCTGCACGGTGGGGTGCACAGGGTGTGCGCAGAGCAGGGTGCAGGATGCACAGAGAGGGATGCAGGATGCACAGAGAGGGATGCAGGATGCACAGAGAGGGATGCAGGATGCACAGAGTGGGATGCAGGATGCACAGGGCGGGATGCAGGATGCACAGAGCGGGATGCAGGATGCACAGAGAGGGATGCAGGATGCACAGAGAGGGATGCAGGATGCACAGAGCAGGGTGCAGGATGCACAGAGAGGGATGCAGGATGCACAGAGAGGGATGCAGGATGCACAGAGCAGGATGCAGGATGCACAGGGCGGGATGCAGGATGCACAGAGCGGGATGCAGGATGCACAGGGCGGGATGCAGGATGCACAGAGCGGGGTGCAGGATGCACAGGGCGGGATGCAGGATGCACAGAGAGGGATGCAGGATGCACAGAGAGGGATGCAGGATGCACAGAGAGGGATGCAGGATGCACAGAGCGGGGTGCAGGTTGCGCACAGCCGAGAGCAGGGTGCTCCCAGAGGGCTGGGGTTTCG